GGTATTCCAGGTCACATTCTTTTTACTTTTACCCTGAACCAAGTCTGCCCTCATTTTCTTACTTCTCTGCTTTCCTAGGGAAGCAAAGCCCTGTTTAGTTTAAAATTATTGTGTTTTAGAAAACAAGTCCTTACTTTAAAAATTAAAAAAAAAATCTTTTTCTCTTATGGATACAAAGAACAGACGGCTTGAATTTGTTTGTGCCCCTTTGCTGATTTCCATGATATACATACTCCCTCCGTGACTGAATTCCAGCTACTAACCTGGCATCACTGACCACAGAGTTTGGGGAGAGGTGAGCAAAATCTGCTCTTCAGCACTAGTCCCAGACCATCACTTCCTTTCTTCTTCACCCCCAGTTTCGGTCTTCAGCCTCCCAGCAAACCTGTTCCACAGGTACTTTGAATGTGAATGCAATGTAACCTGGTCTCTGACCATGGAAATTTCCTCAGCCAGCCTTCCTTCCACTCCCTGCCACATGGCCCTGCCTTGTGACCTGGACTCTGCCATTGGTCCACAGCTCAATTTTCTTTCTCCTCCAAGTTCTCCTGATTTCTCACCCTCTCTGAGCCCCAAGGTCAATCTCAGCTGTCCCAGAGGTCAAGCCTTTATTTCCCTTTCCCACTCACTTCCCTCTGCCTTTCCCGAGTGGGCTCACTGGGTTACAGAATGCGAATTTGGCCTGTTACCCAAGGACACAACTCACTCCCACTTCCTAAGTATTGGTTCTGCCTGTTAGTTATCTAGGCCAGAATGGCTACTTCATCTCTTCCATGCCTCTTTCTTTCTTCTGCCCTTCCTTCTGCTTTCCGTGTCCAGGCACAGCTCTTGCATTTACTTCTCATTAATTTCTTCAACAGGAGATGGCAGAGTATGAATAGATTTTAAAATATTTCAAGTACCTACATCACTTGATAGTACATTAAATTTAATTCTCAATCTTAGTGTGTATTAAGGTCACCTTGGGGTGCTGATACAATGTCAGCTTGCTGAATCGGAATCTCTGGGGTTGGAGTCCAGGAGTTTACTGGGTGGTCCAATGTTGCAGCCACTAGCCACATGTGGCTACTGAGCACTTGAAATGAAGCTAAAGCAAATTGGGATGTGCTGTAAGTGCAACATATACACTGGGTTTTGAAGACTAAGTACAAAAAATATTTTAAAATCTCAAATTTCTATATTGATTACATGTTGAAATAATATTTTAGATATATTGGGTTAAATAAACTGGGTTAAATAAAATGTATTATAAAAATTAATTGTCTTTATTTTATACTTTTTTTAAACAGCTGCTTGAAAATTTTAAATTATATATGTGGCTCCCATTGTATTTTTCTTGGACAGCACTGCCTTAGAGAGTTCATGGTGACCTTGGGGAGGAGAGTAAGAGGTCCCTGAAACTGCATGCAACATGTTTAATGCCATCTAATTCTCAAACCAGTTCAATGGTGCAGTAAAAGACAGGGGTCACTATCTAAACATGTTTCTGGTGATCTTAGAGCAACAGGAAAAAGCTCAATTTTTTCATGTTGTTTCTATTCAACAATAATCTCAAAATGTTCTGAATTCAGATCTAGGAGTCCTTTTACAAGTCTTCTGAAGCAGCTATTAATTCTACCTCCATTTTGCAGATAAGGAAACTGGTTCAGAGAAGTAAAGTAACCTGCCTGAGGTCACATAGTTGGTTGGCATTAGGTTTGGGGCTCCATGTCACATTTTTCTGACTCCAGTGGTCTCTGCCCACACTGAGTACGTGGCTTTTTAGGACAGCTTGACTGTGGTTTTTGGCTGACGTTGTAAACTGATCATTTGCTCTGGCTTATCACTAAGGAGATCATTATGTGCAAGTTTACTGTGACAGTTCCCATTTGTGCCTTGAGTCCTGGTATTATCATTAACAGTGCCCTCATCACTCTTAAAATCGCCCTGGTTTGGACTTCATATAGCAAGCCGATTTTTCTGCCATGGATCTGAAGGCTGTTATAAACTGGGCTCTGGCTGTTTCGCTGTTATTTTCTTACACCAGAAGTGGTGCTGTCTTCTGCGTGCAGGAGGCTTCCCCAGCAAACACTTTCCAAGGTCATGCGTTTCTCTTTTTTTGTTGAGCATGTCCTGTGGACTTACCCAAGTAAGTCCTGGGTGTTCATCCATCTCCTCCCACATCAGTTTCAATTGGGAGCAGGCGGAATAAGAGACGCTGGGTGGGGCCCGTGGGGGTGGGGCTGGGCAGCAGGAGATGAATTGAAGTGAAGCCTCAAGGAAGCAAGAGTGTTGAGAGGAGAAATGGAGAGACTGAGGCTAGAACCGGGGAAGCTGAGACAAAGATGCTCTCTCTTGGATTTTATGTATAACACCCGGAAATGGGGAGGTGTCATTTAAAATCACATTCATAGATAAAATCTTCACTATATCCCTTGAAACCTTCACTCTAGTTACTAGTAAGCAGACGCTATTTGAACCTCTGATGTTTTGTTTTTTAAAATTTTTATTTTGTGGTTACAGCATCATGGGAACTGCTGTCTTGCTTTAAAGCTGTTTCATAATGATGGTGAGGAACGCCCAGCTAACATTAATCAAGGGCAAGAAATCAGTTCAGGCGTTTATGGGATGGGTCAACTCTGTAAGAATCGACACCCACGTTTTTTTCCTCTCCGATACCCAGTCCGATACCTGGTCTGACCGGAGAGTTTCACTCTTTCCTACCGAGCTTGCCAGACTCAGTGCAATAAAACAAAGGGCTCAACAAAGAGAGGTGATTATATTATGAGTCCGGGGCCCTGGCTAAGACACTCGATCTCCCTGAACCTCAGTTCACTCATCTGTAAAATGGGAATGATAATAGATACCCTGCCCCCCTCACAGGCTTGTGATGTGGAGCTTATGAGCTAGAATATATGAATAAAAATTCAAACTGTAAAGAAGGAACGCTTGGGTGAAATTCCTGGATCATTTAAAATGGGATAAAGAGAAGTATAGCGTCTGCTTTTAGCACCCTTAGGTGCTTTTCCCTGAGGAACCAGTTTATCCCCACACCCCAGTCCCCCGAATGTCTGTGCACAAGATACACCTCCTGATGGAGTCTGGATGCTGTTCTCGGGGGGCACTGCCAGGGTAGCCGTCCCTACTGTGGGAAAGGCTACAGGGCTGTGGCAGGGATGGGAATGTGAGTGCTGGCCCCGCAGCCTGCGAGCCCTCTTCAGGGGGACGGATCAGAAGCGGGCTGCAGGTGACTCACGGCGTGGGGCTGCCAGACCAACTCTGCTTTCCTTCCAGGTCTCGACCCTGCCGGCCCTTTATTCAACGGGAAACCACCCGAGGACAGATTAGATCCCAGCGACGCACAGTTCGTTGACGTCATCCATTCCGACATTGATGGTAACATTCCTGCCCCTGTGGGTCAGGGACCCCCACCCCCAGGCTCCCTTGGAGCCTTCTGGGGGAACTGTCTGTCATGCAGGGGCAGATCAAGCTCCTCCGGGCTCCTTGTTTCCTGCGGGGACATAGTTCCAAATCCACAGACACCTTGAGGGGAAGCTGCTTTAAGGCAGGCACCCTGGCTCGCTTGCTGGAGCGGAGGTGCTTTGCCCACTGCCTCTTGTTTTTAGAGTGATCGCCTTGGCCAATCAAGGACAGGCTGCTTTGCACAGCATGTGGACAAATGTTTCCATGTATACAACCGGATCTTCATGCATGATTTCCTGTTTTTGTTGGTTCTCTCATTATTTCCTTAAGCTGAAATATATGGTCAAGTGTTGTACTCACTACACAGAGTGATTGATTCTGAACTACCAGCTCGCTGTGGATCTTCCTGGCCATTTCTGTCTTTCATGGGGCTAATTTCCTATCTGGGGTTGGGTGCACGTCATGGCGTTTGGGTGATGTTAGGGATGGGTCTTTATATCCAGGTGCCTGGGAGAAAACTTGGAATAGGAACTTGGGGAGGGTTGAGAGTACAGAGCAGAGTGATCACACAACCTTTTGGTGATACAGCCACTTAAAAAACCCCAGCCGGTGTGGCTCAGCGGTTGAGTGTCGACCTAAGATCCAGGTGATCCGGGCTTGATCCCCAGTCAGGGGCGTGCAGGAGGCAGCCGATCAATGACTCTCTCATCATTGATGTTTCTCTCTCTCTCTCTCTCCCTCTCCTTTCCTCTCTCTGAAATCAATAAAGATATATTTCAAAAAACAAAAACCCTTGACCGCCTTTCTTGGGCACTCTGGTGAGGTATTCAACAATTGCTTGCCTTAGAAAAAAAGGTCTCTGCAAAACAGCTGTATTCTTACTGTGTAGTTGCAAAGTGTTACTTAAGTGCAGTACCTCACTGCGATCTTAATGCTTGGTGGAATAGAGCAATTCATTTTTTATTCTTGGAGAGAAAGTGAATTTTGAAGGAAAGTGTATAAACTTTGTAGTAGGCAGGGGTGGACTTAAATCCGAGATTTTGTTCTTTCTAGTGGGTTGTGTTTGTCCCTTAAGTCCTCTGAGTCTTAGTATCTTCATCTGTAAGTTACTTCATCTGAACTCACCAGTGGCTGCCTTGCAGACAAACACCTGCCCACAAACACATATAGCTTCTCAAAATATAATAATTATTATTATTGCAATGATGTAAACACTGTTTATACAAATATATAAATAATATTTTAAATCAAGAATTTTACTGATTATTTGGGGTTACAAGGTTAAAGAGAATAAGCAATTATTAAATCTATAATTTAAAAAAAATATTTTTACTGATTTCAGATCAAGGAAGAAAGAAGGAGAGAGAGAGACACATCAGTGATGAGAGACAGTCATTCATCGATCCACTGCCTCCTGCAAACCCACAACCCATGCATGTGCCCTGACCAGGAATCGAACCGTGACCTCCTGGTTCAGAGGTTGACGCTCAACCCCTGAGCCACACCGGCCGGGCTATCTATAATTTTTTAGGTCCTTGTTTTCTAGAAGAGTTTCCAATCTCTTTACCATCCTAGATCCCAAATTTTTAAAGATTATTTTCTACTAAGTAAAAGTTCATTTTTCCCTGTTTCTTATTCATTAAAGATTTGCACAAATGCAAGTAGAGATTCAGGAGGCACCCAGAAAATAGAGGGTTCAAGACAAATGTAAAGTAGAAAAGTGCCCTTTTATCAGCCTTGCTGTGAGTTTGAGTGACCAAATTCTCGTGCGTCTTTAGAAATAGCAGAAATAAATTCCATTGCTATCTTCATAGTCTCCTATTATTAGTGTGTGTGCGTGTATACAGCAATGATGCTCTCTAACTAGCTGGGCAACTTTGGGCAAAATATTTAAATAGGAATAATAATAATCATTATAATTATAATGCAACCCTTGCCCGTATCCTGCAGGCAAATGAGCTATGAGGTGTGAGAAGTTCAAAGCAGTATAAAGCATAGTACATTCTCTTCTAGCTCTGGGCTACAAGGAACCATTAGGAAACATAGACTTCTACCCAAATGGAGGATTGGATCAACCTGGTTGCCCCAAAACAATATTTGGAGGTAAGTGCAGATACTTTATATTTTCTAAAATAGTTGTTTTAAAAAGGCATATTTAAAAAATCTGATATTCTTTTGGGGATAGTTTTAAATAAAAAAATTCCTGTTTAGGTAGAGGTGATATACAGTATAAATTAAATAGTGTTACTCAAATATACTACTTTTAATAACCATAACCAAATGATTAAAAGCTATTATGAATTACCTGTCCCTCTTGAAAAGGCGTGTCTTTGACCTAGAAATTTCACATCTGGACATCTCTCCTAGAAAAATAACAAGAAATATAGACAAAAATTGGAGTGCATAGATATTCAACACTGTTATTTATAATAGTTAATTTTTAGAAATTATCTAAATGTCCAGCATAGGAATATTTTAAATGCTATACCCACACAGAGGAATATAATTGCTAAAAATCATATTTTCAGCAATTAATGAAAACCCTTACAGTATGAAAAAGATACAAACTATACAGTATAATCCCAGTTTATTTTTAAATTTGTATTTGTACACATGTAAGTATAGAAAAGAGGACTAAATGTAAATGCTCCAAACCATTATTAGGGTGATCTCGGGATATTAGACTTCTACGTGATTTTTGCGTCATTATATTCTATTATTTTGTATTTTCTAAATGAGCATATATTACTTTTATAATGAGAAAAACCCTCACAAAACAAAAATGAATAGCTGGAGGATAAGAGTGAGGTGGGGGACCGAATGAAAAAACCCATCCCTAAGTGCTCTAAATTTGTATTTCACAATTGCTAGAGAAAGTTAAACAATCCTGGAAATAACTCTAGAAAAAGATGGTCTTGTTACAAAATGGTAGCTGCGTGTGGCCCCATGAGAATGATGTAGCGTTTGAAAGTGATCGGATGAAATGGCAAAATAGGGCCAATCATATGGTACCATAAATGGTCAGCAACCCTGTCCTGTGTGATGTAGTGTAACTACATCCATGAGCCAACAAAGATAACATGCCCTGCTTACAAAGGACATCCTCTGCACTGTTATTAACTTCATTGATTTTGCAAGTGAAAGAACCAGGAACAATGAATAAATATTGGCTTCTTAAGTGGGCGGGAGTGGACTTTGGAAAAAGAGGAAACGCTGACCTGACTCCAGCATCCAGTGCCTCTCCAAACCACTGGCTCACAGACATAGCTCCTCTTTTCATGGGGTTCACGGTTTCCTACTCAGATCCGGACCTCATTGATTACCCATCTTTGGGACCTTTTCTGAGTAACTTCATCCAGACCCAGGGTGGAGTCATCCACCATCCTTTTTCAAAGTTATCTCTTCTTTCTTCACTCCTTGGGGATCTTTCTCTGCCACCCCACCCCCACCCCCTGCCATTACTTTTTTTTTATTTTTATGTCTTTAATAGTATAAACATACTTGTCTACTGCTGAAAAGCTCTGGGGGATCTCTGANCCCCCCCCCCCCCCCCCTGCCATTACTTTTTTTTTTTTTTATGTCTTTAATAGTATAAACATACTTGTCTACTGCTGAAAAGCTCTGGGGGATCTCTGACTACCACTGAATTTTTCTTCTCCGTTTCACTGCCAAAGGAAGGATGTAGGTTGAGTCCTGATTCTACCACATAATAGCTGCGTGACCTTGGTCAACTTATTTAACCTCTCTGAGTCTCAATGTCCTGCTAGGTAAAATGAGGACAGTCATGCCTATCTTCTTCTTTTCTCCTGTCATTTGCCAGCAGAAACCCTGATCTATGGATTTTTGTAAGGATTGAGTGGAACAGAATATCCTGAAGCTGTTAGTACAGTGCCTGGTATATAGAAGACAGAAAAGAAACTGTGTTTGCATGTGTGTGTGCATACCGTCTGTGATGTACTGTTACTAAATGCTGCACCTGCTCCGTTCTTTAATCATTCCTTTTACAACCCAGGAATGCAGTATTTTAAGTGTGACCACCAGAGGTCCGTGTACCTGTACCTCTCTTCCCTGAGAGAGAACTGTACTGTCACTGCGTATCCCTGCGACTCCTACCGGGATTACAGGAACGGCAAGTGTGTCAGCTGCGGCACACCACAGATGGAGTCCTGTCCACTTCTGGGTAAGTCCAACAGGCACTGTCCCCTCTCACTAACAAAGAGCACATTTTTGGTAGGAATCCCAGCACCATTTTATTACCTAAAACTGAGGCTGAAGATTGTGTGCTTTCTGAACATTTATATAGTCAGCTTTTTCTAGCCAATTTGTTCTGTGAAGTACTCTGGGGTCTCCTAACCAGTGTTAGAAAAGCAGCCTATATAGGATTTCATTCAGAAGGCAGTGCAACCTCTCTGGACACTATTCTAGCATGAAAAAGAAGGTTCTAGAAGAGTTTCCAAGCCCACCCAGGACACAGTCACCTTATGTAGCCTGCTCCCATGGGGACAGGAACACCCTCTCCTTGCACACAACCTCTCTGCTGGGGGAAGGTCACAGTGCCCCCTTCTGTCAATTGAGCCTTGCAGATGTATCCCTTCCAACAAGTTGTGTCTGTAAGCGCCTTCGTGCTACACTCTGGCTCTTGTGTGCATTGTACAGAGGTGGGATGGGTTGATAGATACTGTGGATGCTGCTGGGATATTTGCTAAGGATTAATAGAAACAGTTCAGGTGGCGAGGACTTTGGAACCAGATGCTCATGAGAATTTTCTAATTGCTTCCAAGGGAAAAATCCAAGTTAACATCAGGGCTTGATGTACACAAGGGATTCTCAACCTTGATCATGCATTGGAATCATCTAGAGAGCTTTTAAAAAATACTGATGCCTGGGTCCCACCCCAGATCAATTAAGTAAGAAGGCAGAGGTAATTCTCTAGGAGTGGGGACAGAGGAGAGAGAGCAAGGGCAAGTGATGGTACTCAGCTTCCTTCCTGCTGGCACAGACATGAAGGAGGACATTCATCTGCTTGGTGACATAGTCAAATGGCAAACCCAGGTTCTGTGCAACTTAGGGGCCCGACTGTAGTTCAAGAAAGCACATTGCTTTGCAAGAGTGATGCTATTCTAGGTATAAACCTGAATCTGTGTTAACTCTAAAATGAATGTATTACTGAAAAATATCTGTGCTATTTTTAGTCTGCTCCACTTCCCCACCCTGCTACTGAGAACCAGGCTGGGTGATGTAATGTCAGTAGAAAGGGGAAAACCAGGGTAGGGTCCCGAGCTCAGGGTAAGGAACAGGGTGTGGCCAGTGCTGGGCAGGCACTGTCCTGGTGGCCCTTTGGGTCCTTGCCATGAGGGTGGTATGAGGGAGATTATCTCAGTGGTGATGGCAGGCAAACTCTGTTCTCCCTGCCTCCCCAACTGCTTTTACATTTATATAATACATGTTAACGTTACACTTTCTGACTTGTTTTATAGGCTATTATGCTGATCATTGGAAAGACTATTTAACGGAGAAAGACCCTCCTATGACTAAAGCATTCTTTGACACAGCTGGGGAGAAACCGTTCTGCAGTGAGTGGTGAATGTGGTTGTTGCTTTTACCCATCTTTTTTTTACCCAAGAAGCCGAGTCTCAGCTTCCTGGCTACTTCTTAGTAAATGAAGGCCATGATGAAGCGTGGACTTTGGAGCTGGAAAGACCTAGGTCAAATCCTGGCTCTACCACATAGTAGCTGTGTGATCTTGGTCAAGACACTTGACCTCTCTGAGTCTCAATGTCCTGCTAGGTGAAATGGAGGCAAGAATGCCTATTTTATGGGTTATAAAGATGAAAATCTCAACAAATCATAGTTGTTAGCTTCATTGGATGGCTATTCTAATCACTAACATCTTCCAGAAAATAGCTTGATCCCTAAGAGTCATGAGATTGGGGCTAGGAAAAATCAGGTGTCAGCCACATCTATGGGTAATTTCCAGCCCCAAAGCAACCATGATGATGTTCTAAAGGCATTGAGGGGTTGCATATTCCAGATGGGAGCTAAATGGTGTAACAGATAAGATACCCCGAGAAGCAGGGAATTTTCCCTGGCAGATGTATGTTTTGTAATCTTGTCTCCCTTTTCACTTTTCTTGGGGGCAACCCTTGTAAAAGAGGTTGCAGATCAGTGGGTTTCCCTCTTTCTTTAGAGCCATGTGTGACAGCCCAGGGTTTTGTGTCTGCCAGGTCCAAATGGGGAAGATCCTTGAGCAGTGATGGGTCATGAAATGGCAACTCCAGGGCTTACCTTACTCCTTTGTGAGACAGCCATCTCCTTGAGCCTCTTTCCCTTTCTCTACAAGTCTGACCAAGAGATGGAAATCTGAATTTCATAGTGGGATCCCCATCTTCCCAAAGCATCCTTGACCTTGGGGAGCAAAGAGTAGAGAGGAAGAAGAGTTCTCTGAACACATCATGCACTCTCATTTATTGGACAGGAATTTAATGGGTGCCAATAAGGTGTTACTGCTGAGATCACAAAGAAGAAAAATCATCCCTTTATTCCTTCCCACTCATTGTTGTATATTTTACTTTTATCTTTTTTTGGTGACCCCATAAGACATTATTCACGCAATATTTGTATAGACGTACCCATTCATTTACCACTTTTTTATTATCATTTTTTCTTGCATTTTGCAAATACAGTAAAGTGCGCTAATGATGGGAGAATCTCAAAGCATGATAAGAACTCCAAGAGGTAGATCTGACTTAGTCTGAGGGTCAACGAAGGCCTCCTGAAGGGAGTGACATTAAACTGAAACCTGATGGATGAGTTGGCAAAGGGGGCAGAGTGAGAGTGTTCCAGTGAGGGAAGGCCCGGGAGCAAGAGGGGACGTGTAGTGCAGGTGGTGTGGCAGGAGTGGAGAAGCGATGAGGGGGGCTGGGGAGGCTGGTGGACACGGCCCGGGCTGCGGGAGACCTTGTCAGTTCTGGAGGGTCTCTCCATGGCCACCTGGTTGGTTTTTTCTAAAATGGGCAGGGATTGGAGTGAACCAGTTACACTCAGCAGCAGGCCATGAGACCTCGGTCACTAAGGTGGGAGCACTAATTCAACAGTGATGCCCAAACATGGCTACTGCGTACCCTTGAATTCTGCCAGTGCTCAAGCCCTCATTACCAAAGGGAATAGAAAGGAGCTTTAGGAAATTCTGCCCTGGACGTTTGCAGAGAAACTAGAGAAGGATTAGAAAAGAGACTCAGGCCCTGGTCAGTTTTGCTCAGTAATTAGAGCATCGGTCCACTGACCAAAGGGTTGAGGGTTCAATTGCTGGTCAGGAGCAGGTACCTGGGTTGCAGGTTCTCCCCTCCCCTGTTGGGTGCATGCGGGAGGCAACCAATTGATGGTGTCTCTCTCACATCAATGTTTCTCACTCTCTCCCCGCCCTTCCCTCTTTTCCTTCCACTTTCTCTCTGAAAAGCAATGAGAGAGAAAAAAAA